CTGCCATCCAGAGGGACCTGGACAGACTGGACAAGTGGGCGGTGAAAAACCTCATGCAATTCAACAAGGCCAAGTGCAAGGTCCTGCACCTGGGGAGGGATAACCCCAGACACCAGTACAGGCTGGGAACTGACCTTCTGGAGACCAGCTCTGCTGTGAGGGACCTGGGTGTCATGGTGGACGACAAGTTGGAAGCAGCATGCCCTTATGGCCAGAAAGGCCATGAGATCCTGGGAATTAAGAAGGGTGTCTCCAGCAGATCGAGGGAGGTGATCCTGCCCCTCTACTCAGCCTTGGTGAGGCCGCATCTGGAGTATTGTGTCCAGTTCTGGGCTTCCCAGAGCAAGAGGGACATGTAGCTGCTGGAGAGTCCAGCTCAGGGCTACAAGGAACAGGGCCTGGAACATCTGCCCTATGAGGAGAGACTGAGGGAGCTGGGCCTGTTCAGCCTGGAGAAGAAGAAAAGACTGACCAGTGTGTGCAAATACCTCAAAAGAGGGAGTGAAGAGGATGGGACCGGCCTCTTTTCAGTGATGGCTACTGATAGGACTAGAGGAAATGGCCACAAACTGAAGCACCAAAAGTTCCACAGGAACTTAAGGAAAAAAATCTTGACAGTGAGGGTGACAGAGCACTGGAACAAGTTGCCAAGAGAGGCTGTGGAATCTCCTCTGCACATCTTCAAAACCCGCTTGGATGCAACCTGCGCCATGTGCTCTAGGTGACCCTGTGTGTGCGGGGGTGTTGGACTAGATGATCTCTAAAGGTCCCTTGCAACCTACATGATACTATGATTCTATCCAAAGCTATATCCAGAAGGCAGTTTCCCCATCTTTGATTACTGCAACATTTTCCAAAGCTCAGCACCAGCACTATAGTGTGTATAGCTGTGGAACTGCAACAAATGAAGATTCAGTCCTCATTTGCCCCATGAGCTTCTCATTTGCCCCACAAGAGTCATGTACAGGGGATACATTAACTTAACAGAATTTGAGAGGTGCAAGGGAAGAGCATGAAGATGCAGTTCAAAAACTCAGTTGTTGCCTTGTGCCAGGAGCAGCTACTTCCCTTGAAGTGCCTGTGCAGCTCATCTATGTGATTGAACCATTTGGAGAGTGGAACACAGCATATATAATTGCTTATGCTTGTTCACCATGTATGTGAGATGCTACCTTGATGACTCCACTACAGCTGTTTGTGAGTGGGAACATGACACACAGACGCAAGTTTCTGAAGAACTGGTGTCAAGGAATCACACTTGCATGGAATACACACGCCCTGCATGATGACAGAATAGTATTGACAGGGTTCATATTGTCTCTTTGTGCAATCTTGAAGGCAGTTCACTGGCATTTTAGCAGAGATGGCAACTCCTACAACATAGAACAATCTAGGCATCTCTTCACAGGCACACTTGCTAAGCTGCTGTTGTTTTTTTCTTGTCTCCAGAATGATGCTGATCCCTCTCTCAGACGCAGCACCCAGCACAGATTAGTGACAGTAGCCACAACTGCCTCTACTGTCTTTTGGGTGAAGCTGCGTATAACTGTCCATCTGTGCTCAACTGATATAATGCATGGTGAACACTGGAAATGGTCAGTGAGATTTGTGTTATGCCAAAAAGGGAGGTTCTCTATTTGCATATCGCCTCAAAGCTTCATGTGGTTTCTTAGGGTAATTGCCAGTGCGTCAACAATCTTCTGTAGTATCTGCAGCAGCTTGTCCACTTTCAAAAGAGCTGGGAATGTACACATTTTCAAATTTACCTGCTGGATACATGCTTTGTTTTCACAAAAGTCATAACGCTGGTGAATAAAATGATACTACTATCGTAAGGTTCCTGGAACCCAGTCCCAATAAAATTAATATATTTTTTAAAAAATCCTTCTGTTGGCCAATGATCAAAAATTGGCCAACGTCAGATGCAAAGATCAGGTCTAGTAGAATAGTAACTGTGATACTCGCTTCAAAACTTCACTCTGCAGCTACTTCCTCTGACCCCAGTCTGGCTTTACGGGTAGCAGCTGCTGGTCAGTTCTCACCTTTTGTCCAAACATCCCCATGGACCACCTGCTCCGAGCAGGTGATGCCACCTGCTCTGCCTTCAGAGCATGTTGTCCTCATGAGTGCGTATTTAACATCACTACTGCAGCATTTAATATTATTTAGGAAATTGTCATCCAGCGGTGCTATTGTTTCTCTGGAACTAGCCACAAGTAGTTTATTTTCACTATATCATCATAATATTGCTAGTAGTTTGCAATCTGATATATTTTTT